TGAGGATGACCACCCACCCAACACCGTTGGTGACCCACGCCCGCGATATTTGATGAACTTTAGACTCCGCTAATGCTTTCGTTTCCCCGGATGTAAATAGCCGGGGGGAATTAGTACCCTCGCACGGCGCTTCGCGCCGTCGGCTCGGGGATTAAGAAAATAGATGTTCCTAAAGCCTTAATAAAAATAACTTTGGAAGTACTGATGTTCAAAGTTACCAGATACAGTGGCGGAAATCTTGGTTGGGCGGGGGGGGGGGGGGGGGGGGCGGCGCCCCCCACCTTCTGGAAAATTGACGAATTTTCGGAAATTTTGATCTAAAAGAGGGCTAAAAACAGTCTTTTCGAGTGCAAATGGGGGCTATGTCTGAAATTTGAAAGTTTTGTCGGAAATTTAGGGGCTCCCACCCCCCTCCACCGGAAAAAGTAAATTTCCGCCACTGACCAGATATGCCTCCCAACAGAACCTATACAGACCAGCTTCTATAATAAATTATGGACTAACCAGATTCAAAACAAAAGCTTCCAAAATATGTGAAAAAATTCCTAAACAAATTAAATCATTACCATTTGGTAGTTTCAAAAAACAGTATAAAATGTTTCTTCCTAATAATCAAGTAGAATTACAAGACAGAGTTGACTAGACTTATATGCTATTAAAAAATTATTTTACAGCCAGTAATCATGTAAATACTAGAAATACATGCATGCAGCAACCCCTCGCCTATATTTTTCAAACATCGATTTAACATGAAGTATTTGGAAACGGCCAATACTGAACGCAGGCTCGTTGAAGTGTTGCCATGACAACACGATATTTTTAAATTTTCAATTTTTTATATTTCTTTGTACAAAACGGCAAAATAGTAGAAAGATTAGGACTTTTAGCTATACAACAATGAATTTCCGAAATATACGCTGTAGGTATGTTATTCTGCTTTTTGTGTGTTTTGACTTTGAAAATTTAACTTGAAACGCTTCATAAAATCAGTTTGAAATGTTCTGCATTCAACTATTAAAACTGCATTTGCCGTAATGATAATTCGATTCGATAATTCAAATTGCTCGGTAATTTCAGTCCCGACTTCAAATCAATTTGTTCTCCTTTACATTTTAAGCTTTTTTCCTAAATTAAACAGGATAATTTAGCCAGTAAACTTACAGCTTCATTGGAAAGGAAAATAGTTCATGTTTTTGGCAAAAGTTTAATAAAGCAACAAAATTCATAAACATTAATAATTCAAAGCAAACTTGCCCCATTTTTCACGATTTCCCATAGTCCATAAATTTTTCATATTTCTTCAAACATTAATTGCTTCAAAGCTCATTGTGTGAAACGTGATTTTCCAAAAATATGTTTTTGGAAAATTGAAGTCTTGCTTCTCCCACTCCTGGCAAACAGCCATATTTTTTAGATCAGTGAGGTCCACCCACGAACGATAGTCACGCGCGCGATACTTGATGAACTTTAGACTTCGCTAGTGCTTTTCTTTCCCCGGGTGTAAATAGCCGGGGGGAATTAATATCCTCGCCCCGGGCTTACGCCCGGAACGCCGCTCCGCGCCGTTAGCTCGGGGATAAAATAAGTTTTGTAAATTATACTATACACTTAGATACCCTAATACAATATTTAGTATGGAAATCAACTTTTTTTTGTTTTAAATACTCAAATATAATTTCATAATGATAGTGGTCAACTCGATAGCTTCTGCTCCTTTGACCACTACGCACTCTTCATCTGTAAATACATATTATGGAATATTAATGTAAATATATATAGTATACTAGTAATACATAATCTTGTAAGAAAGAAATAAGCGCAAATAAAACTGAACTGAACTGAACTGTAGGTTCATTTCCCACCGTGGCCGGGCATATTTTTCAAGCTTGCTCGGTGTGGATATAGGCTCAGATTCCAGCCGTTGTGTTCTCGCCACTCGCCCACTTAACGGCTGGGTCAATGGTTAATATTTCTTGTCTGTGACGTCATGGTTGATATTTAAATTTATGCATATGTTTTGCATAATTATGTAATTCTGTGCAATGTAAAATGGCGGCTGTCAGGAGCGAACAATTTTGTTTCGAAGAGGAAATAGCAAATTTTAACAACTTTGTGCATTCATTGATAACTATTTTGTAAAGGAAAACAAAATTGAAACTTTTAAGTTCATTTGACAAAATGTTATTAAGTTCTAGTATGTTTTTAAAGAAGAAAGGAACTGAAATGTACACGAGTGAATGAATATATTATATATCTAAAGAGTAAAACAATAAACCCTACCAACAAAAAAAAGGTGAATCTGAATAATTAACGTCTTATTTCAAACAAATAGTTTTTCAATGAATATTCTTTGAAGAGTAACATAAATTTAATGTTAATATTTACTTGAGTTGTTTATAGACTATAGTTATACGTAGTGCAATTTTACGCCTTGTGATTAATATCTAAAAATTTTCCGGAAGATTTTGTTCGAGGGACAGTGAAGGAACTAAGTCTTTTATAGACCAAACAATAGTCTGTCAAGATATGATCATTATGATGGTCTGGAAGCCTACAAACGTCAAAGCTACAAAATAGAGGACCTAGTGTTTGATGTTGAATTGTACCTTACCGTGCACCTTCATAGATTTGGTTAAACAGTCTTTTGATGTAGCAAGAATATTTTAAATTTAAAATGTTCTTGGCTTTATTTCGGTGTTGTATAAGTTGCCTGTACAAATGGAGGCCGGGTGTGCTCATCGACCCATATATGGTTCAGTGTCCGACTGTTGACCAAGTCCGTAATCATTTGTAGCTACACACAGGTGACACAGCAGTGAGGGGGGTATTATTGTGGTAATGGTGACAGGATATTGCCTTTCCAAATTGAAAAAAAAAATATTTGATGAAATACCCCAATTACACCCCTTTGCCAATGGTATATATCGAGAATAAGAAAAATTATTGCCATTGTCCTTTAAAGGTGTTAAAATATGATTTTTTTGCCGTTTTGCACAAAAAATGAAAAATGAAAAAGCAATGATTGTGTTGGTATTGGCTAAGATACGCGGCAATTGCAACGCTAGCCTGCGTTCAGTTTACGAATACTTCATTCTGAAACAAAGGTTGGAAATATATATAGGCAAGAGTTGTTATGTTTACGTATTCGTATAGTTATTATTCAAATTTGCACTAATAATTTTATAGGCCTGCTTCTTTATTCTTTTAACAGTTTCATCAGTTCCAGGACAATCCAAAACCAATTATATTGATACAGATGCTGATTGCAGATTTTCGTGAGCGGTGTAGCGGCAACAAGTTTAAGAGCCTCTTAAAAATTTCAAGTTATAAATGGCAGTTTGAGATATTGGTCTATCACCTGATGCTTAGGTTGATTAGGACCTCAAAAGATAAATGTAGGTGGATCGCTTATGAATTTGCTAGTAATCATCTACCTTTGTTATTGTTATTGTTATTGTTATTGTCATTGTCATTGTCATTGTCATTGTCATTGTCATTGTCATTGTCATTGTCATTGTCATTGTCATTGTCATTGTCATTGTCATTGTCATTGTCATTGTCATTGTCATTGTCATTGTCATTGTCATTGTCATTGTCATTGTCATTGTCATTGTCATTGTCATTGTCATTGTCATTGTCATTGTCATTGTCATTGTCATTGTCATTGTCATTGTCATTGTCATTGTCATTGTCATTGTCATTGTCATTGTCATTGTCATTGTCATTGTCATTGTCATTGTCATTGTCATTGTCATTGTCATTGTCATTGTTATTGTCATTGTTATTGTTATTGTTATTGTTATTGTTATTGTCATTGTCATTGTCATTGTCATTGCCATTGTTATTGTTATTGTTATTGTTATTGTTATTGTTATTGTTATTGTTATTATTATTGTTATTGTTATTGTTATTGGTATTGGTATTGGTATAGGTATAGGTATAGGTATTGGTATGGCTATGGCTATGGCTATGGCTATGGCTATATCACAGGACGAAAAGCGTGTCATTAATCAGCTTTAGCAAAGATACTAAAGATATTAAATGTGTGTTTACACCTTTAATAATATACATAAAGATATTACTCGACTGTGATTGGTTGATTTCAGTGCAGTTAATCCAAAACAGCAGTGCAATTTTCTGTAATCACCGTGCAATTTTCTGTAATCACAGTGCAATTTTTTGAAATCACAGTGCAATTTTCTGTAATCACAGTGCAAAAATCTGTAACAAACTGATCTGATTGGTGGAAAAACATTGTGATGATTAAATCAACCAATCAGTTTAAAGAAATTTAGTTTAAAGAAGTAACGGTCACAGATTGCTTCAAAACAAAACAAACATGGCGCCGCGCTACACAAAGTAAAAGTTGCTTTCGCGTGGAAAATATGGCTTTTATCTTTATTTTTAAATGGAAAAGCATTTATCTCAAACAAGACTAACAAAAATTACATAGTTGAGTGGAATTTTCAAGCTGTTAGCGTAGTATAATGTGATATAACAAAGCCAGGAAAAGTTTGCCAGTGGAATGTTCGCTATAAACGCGTAAGTTAAAACTACAATTGTCTCGAACATTTTTATGTAAATTATTAATAAGTAATAGCATGGTTTCTCGTGAAATTTGGATAAACATGCACTCGTGAGTTTTTCAAAGACCTCAAATAGCACTCGTCCTTCGGACTCGTGCTATTTTGAGGTCTTTGAAAAACTCACTCGTTCATGTTATATCCAAATTGCACTCGAAACCATGCTATTACCTATACTAATAAGCTGACTAAAGGTGGTTAAATAAAAAGTTACATTTAATCGCATTTACTCTGAATAAAACACCTCTTTTGGAAACTGGTACACTTAATTGCATTTAGTGAGGATATTATAGCGAGTTAAAACCAACATTAAACCGCACATACTTTAATTACCTTTAATGCGCAGTTTAAATGTTGACTAAAGGCAGAAATAACATTTAATCACGTTTAGTTTTATCTTAAATGAAGACAAAACCTGACACACACTGTCGATAATTTAACAGAATTAGAGCTATGCTGAATATTACAGTATAAACATGAAATGTTATACGTAGTATATCACCTGAATTTAGGCGCTTATATAAACAGCGCAATTCGCTTGGACAGTTGATTCTATTGACATATATAAATATACAAATATAATTTTGTCGCCAAAGGTAAAATACCTAAAAGAGAAGCTGAGTATGTAAGTAGTAAGTAGTAAGTAAGTAAGTAAAAACTTTATTTGTCTACGCTAACCCCTACAGCAAGAGCTGATTTCCAAGAGGGGCGTAGGTTTAAAAATACAAACGTTACACTCAATTAGGATAAATATAGATACAAGACTAACACATTACAATACAATTATACAATTATAATTACTCTACTATGGTCAAATAAATAAAATTTCATAAACTCATTATCTAACTGGCCAGGTGCCGCACACCCAAGTTAAATTGACTAAGAGAACATTTATTTCTTAGTCTATCTGGGAGGCCATTCCACAATTTTGCTCTTCTATAACTAAGACCTTTTTTAAGATATTCGGTCTTAGGTTTGGGCAGATAGAGATTTGTGGCATAACCTCGTAAGTTATAATGTTGAGACGAAGGCGTCTTTTGAAACATATCAATTAGTTGTTTGGGCGCTAGATCGTGGGTTATTTTGTACATGAGACTTGCTACAAATTGAGTTCTGCGTTCTTTCAATGTTTTCCAGTTTAGTTCATTTAAAGCAAGTTCAGATTGGCCGTGTTCGTTTTTACGACCCGTAATTACTCTAGCAGCCCTATTTTGTAATTTTTGGAGGCGATCAGAGAGTGTGATACCAATAGTACCCCAAACTTCGCAGCAGTAGTCGAAGTGGGGCAATATAAGTGCGTTATAAGCACATATTAATGTATTATGGTCCACACAGGGTTTGAGTCTTCTGATCGCTCCAATTCCGGATGAAACCTTCTTAGTAATTTTGTCAATATGCTTATTCCATGACAAAAATTCATCAATACATACTCCAAGTGCTTTTGTTTCTCTCACTCTTTTAATTTGTACATCGCCAACGAACACATTTGGAACAAGGGCTAGATTGTTGACGTTATGCCGAGATCCAATTAGTAGGTATTCAGTTTTAACAAGATTTAGGGATAGTTTGTTTGCAGATAGCCACCGCTTTACGTTAGCAAGATCATAATTAATGGCCATTTCTACATCAGCAACTGATTTACCAGATGCAGTTAATGTCGTATCATCGGCAAACATTCTTGTTGACGAATACTCCAAACTGTTTGGCAAATCATTAATATAAACCAAAAACAGGAGCGGCCCAAGAATTGAGCCTTGAGGGACTCCACATGTAATTAATTTTTTACGAGAAAGTGTGCCATTAACAGAGCACATTTGAGTTCTGTTTTCTAGATACGATTTTAGGAGGTTTAAAGCTGGTGTTTCTAAACCATAAAAATCAAGTTTTTTCAATAACACAACGTGGTTAATAGTGTCGAATGCCTTTTGCAAGTCGAGAAAGACTGCAATATTAAAAAAGCCACGATCCATATTAACAAACCATTCATTTGTGCTATCTAAAAGGGCGGATGCTGTTGAGTGACTACGTCTAAAACCGAATTGATGTTGGGATAGTAAGTTATTTGTAACAAGATAATCGTGTAACTGTTCGTATAATACTTTTTCGAAAACTTTACTTACAACAGGAAGAATGGATATAGGGCGATAATTATTTAACAGGTTTCGAGGGCCTTTTTTATGTAAAGGTGTAACTCTCGCTGCTTTCCATTCAGATGGAACGGATTCACTGGTGATTGCCCTATTAAAAATTTTTGCCAAGGAATTTGCAATTACTGGGGAAGCAATACGAATAATTTTAGCTGGAATTTTGTCAATACCGGTAGATTTACCGGGATTTAGAGACAAAAGAAGTCTATGAACTTTCGATTCAGATACAGCTTGGAACTTAAAATTACTAGTTACTCTAGTTATGTAATCCGTGAAATTTCTGTCACCTTTATCGATCGTTTTTGCAATATCTGGGCCAATATTAGTAAAATAATCATTGAAGCTTTCCGCTAACTCATTTGGATCGGTAATCTCTCCATTCTGAGTTTTGACAGAGTTTATATCTGGACATTTTTGCTTTCGATTTAGGATTTTATTAACAGTTTTCCAAGCTTGTTTTGGATCATGTTTTACGTTATCAAATTGTACTTTATAATAAGCTGTTTTAGCTTCTCGCAAAGCATCTGTTATGCGATTTCTAGACGATTTATAAGCATCCCAGTAATTTTCCGATTTGTATTTTATTGCAAGAAGTTTTAGACGATCTCGTTCTCTAATTTGTTTTTTAATTGTAGTGGTTAGCCAAGGGACACTGGGTTTATCTTTCACTCTTTTCTCTTTATTTGGAGCATGGTTGTCGAGCACTGTCATAAAGAGTGTTTTCCATATATCCCACATCTTATCAACGCATGCTTGGTTATCTAATAATTCCCAATCCTGACTATACAGGTCGGCTTGGAAATTATCGACATTAAAATTTTTTAAATTTCGAAATTCAACTTTCTTGTGGCGTTTTTGTTTACAGTAAGTATTTATTTTACGAACAATGACGATCATATAATGGTTACTAATTGTAATCGGCACTACCCTAGATGTAATTAACTTTTCTGGAGTAGAAGTGAGACAAACATCTAACAAAGAGGATGAAGTCGTGGTCTCACGAGTGGGTGCACTAATTGTTTGAGTTAATTGATATTGTTCCATTATTGAAACTAGTTCTATTGTGGCATTATTCGAAATGTCAAGCATGTTGGCATTTAAATCGCCAAGTAAATAGAATTCCTTATTCTCGTCATCTATTAATTGCACTAATTTTTCAATTGCGACAAATGAGTCAACCGAAGCACTTGGAGGTCTGTATATAGTTCCAACAATAAAGGATGCACTAGAAAGTTTATGAATTTCGATAAAAACAGCCTCAAGATTATCTCTAGTCAAGTCTTTTCGTTCGGAAAAGTTAAGAGAATTTTTAGCATATATACAGACGCCTCCCCCTTTTCTAGAACGATCAAACCTAATTAAATCATAGTTATCTATATGCATATCCTGGTACTAATATTTTCATCCAATCTTGTCTCATTCAAAGCAAGTATATCGAGACATTGATCGGCCAGTAATATTCTTATTTCATTAATATGCTTAGGTAAACTGGCTATATTTAGCATACTCATTTTGAAACCTTTAAAGTTTGGAACGTTTGGGTTTGATGATGCCCATTTATCAATACCTGGCCGGGCTGTGTTTCAATTAATATGATTGAAATAGTTCCCGGCCAGGTGTTGATAAATGGGCATCATCATCATTTTTTAGCTATCCAGCTTCAGACAGACAATTTCTTTATTTTGTATATGAACTACATACAATTTCTACATGTACTTACACACAGCTAGTCGTTGTACACAAGGATCTTTCGTATTTCCACTTTCTCCAATAAAATAATAGGTCATAATACACTGCCCTCGATCGTAGCTGAGATATACGGCCTTGGTCTCGTTCTCAATCTGACTCTTTATTTTATTCGTGAGACGCCTTTGTTTGGCATTTCCAAACTCTTTCTCGGCACCAACTTTAATTACGTCTGTTGCGTTTAAGACGTCGTTCCTCTGTGTAATTTGGTATTGAGACGTCGCTATTTTGTAGGTAGACAATTGACAATTCTCTTCAGCTTATGGAGGCACTGGGATTCTATCTTCCAGAAGGTTGCGCATTCCACTGGTAGCAAGTGCGCCACTCGCTGTGTGGGAATGCTGGTTAAAATGCGCCATTTCAACCGGCTTTGCGCAAGGTATACCACCAAAAGCTTTACAGAATTGAAGGTTGTTGTATTAAACTGTCGCTGCGAGGTTCTATGTAGGTATAATTTGAATGCTATATTCCCCCGCGCGCTATTTTAAACTTTCCCGGTCGGGTAACTGATCCCCTGTAGGCTGTGTAATAAAACCTCGATCTGACGGTGTAAACATAAGCCGTTTACGATTATAGAAGAACTATGGATGGAATCAATTTGCGAATTACTCAATTATATGCGAACAAGCCCAATTTTTACTTTGCTCGCTGCTTTTTGGACGAAGGCGGATTTGATTTGTACGTGGGTAACTTCCTAGTGTACAGAAGAAATCTGATACTACGAAAGATTCCTACTGTGAACAATAGTTCGAAGTCCAATTCCCGTTGCTTTTACAATAAACGTCTGGCCTTTATAGCTGTCACAGTCACAGTTCGACAGTTGCTAGCTGTAATTTCGATATGACTGGACCAGTATGTTTTGTTGTTGCAAAATATCGTTGAGGAAAACAAGCTCCTTAGAGAACAAAATAATAGCCAATACAAGTACAGAGAGTGAGAATGCGCTGAAGAATTTCAACGAGAAGATGGATATCATTACTCGATCTTATTCTGGGAGACGAGTCTGCAGACACTCAGCTGACAAACGGGAAAAAATATACAGAGAGTGCCCAAGGGCAAGGCTTGCAATGTAAGTACATGTACAGTAAAACGTTTATTTATACAGTGTATATTTCCGTTTACAATTGTCAGACAATGCATCATTGCTTCGTACAGTATATGGGCATAAAAAAAACTTTGTCCATTTGACCGTTATAAAAATACAGTTTATTTGAAATATTGGCTCCAAATTTGAAATCATTTTCAAAATCAATGACATATACATATATCACTGTATAGTCCAGTCAGTCCAGTATTTTTTAGCTAAATACAGCACAATGGATTCACCGAATTAGTCTTTAAATTATATTATATTATATGCAACTGATTATTACCTGCTTCTTAAAATTGCCAGTATTAATTTCATACATTCGAGTGCCTCAATACGGTAATGCCTTCGTAGCCTGTTCATGCATATATAGAAGCCAGACTGTCCTGCAGACAGTACGAGAGACTAATGAGCAAACATATATATTTCAATAACAACAAATACCAAACAGGCATATATGAAAACATTTACATATAAGTACCTAATGTACTGTAAACTAAACAATAAAGTACGTACCATATAGTTCATGGTTAGGAGTGCGACATGCGTACTAATGTTGATTAACTCTAATATATAATATAATATAAAATCTAATAAACTATTGGGTATTATAATATTAAAGCTAGAAATTCTACAAAAGACTATCGTACATTGCGAGAGTATCATGAAAGTATATTGAAATTATTTTCATGATAGACTTATCATGTACATTTAGTATATATAGAAATAAGTTTTTTGTATCAATTGAACGGAAGGATGAGTTGATTTTGCATATATCTGTTACAAAAGTATTTCGGAGTTTTACAAATTCGTTATTGGGGCATGACATTAAATAGTGAAATTCATCGCCGATTTCGTCTGATTGACATAACGTGCACTTTCGCTCATTGTAGGGGGTTTTGTTATATCGGCCAGATTCAACTGGTAATTTATGTGCGGATATTCGTAATTTCGTTATTGCCTGACGATGTTTGACATTACAAATTACGTGAAGGTATTCCTCGAATCTGAAATTATTCTTAACTTGTACGAGAGTTCTTAATTTACCATTAGAACGACTTTCTTGAAATTGACCTTTCCAGTAATTAATAAAGTAATCAACTAGTCTATTTTTTATATATTTACCTAAATTTCTCAAACTTTCAAGTTCTAAATAAATGTGGTCTAGCGATCTCAAATCACTTACTTTTAATATATAGTTTATAAAAGTAATGGCCTGAGAATTGGATCGAATATTAAAGCGTGCTGCTTTACCCACCAGAGTATTTATATAACTAGGGGTTTTAATACGTAACCAATATTTTGTAGCTAGAGTAGAGATCTGTACTATCAAAGGAACTCTACCTAGTTCCCCATAGATAGCCAGATTTGTGCTTTTAGAATGAACTCCAAGAATACGTTTAAAAAATTTCAGCTGTAATGACTCCAGTTTATTCACGATGCTAAACAATTTCTTTTGAAAAAGTTCATATGAGGAGATTCTTCACAATAAGCACACTCCCCAGATTTCACAACCGTATAATAAGACTGGAATCACCATTGAAGAAAATAGTTTTAGTAGTGTCTTTATCGGTATATTCTCTACGTTTGAAAGTTTATCCATTAGACAATAGTAGGCTCTCAATGCCTTGTTGTATAGTGACGCTATAGCTATCTTAAAATTACCAGTGTAATGAAAAGTTAGTCCCAAGTATGTATACTCATCTACACATTCTAACTGTTTGTCACCAAAGTACCATTTTGATGAAATAAACAGTCGTCTTTTCGATTGTGTTCCAAATATCAAGATTTTTGATTTTTTAAAATTTACTTGCAATTTCCATTTTTTCGTATATGTTTCAAGATTATGAAGGCAGCGTTGTAGCCCAGTACGAGATGCGTGACAGTACGAGATGCGGGATGAATTTCTCTTGTGTTTATATGAGAAAAATTCATCCCGCTTGCCGGGACAATTTTGTTATTCTGTTTGATATATTTTATTGTTTTGACATGAGTAAGTTAAAAATAGCTTGCGGCGGTATATTTGAACTTTCATCCTTGAAAACGGCCTATAGCCCGCTCGTGAGAGTGTTTATATGCAGAAATTTCCATCCCAGTAAGCGAGATCTCGAGCAAGATCTCGGCAATCTGGCAGCCCGCTTGTCTATATAAATGCGCAGCAATTTTTACTATAAAAATAACTACACAGTGTGAGCGAGATCTTGCGAAACTTGCGGATTTTGTATTGTAACTATGGCAAGATAGATAGATCATAAGCAGTATAATTAACGTACAAATATAGCAGCGTACTAGGATTATTTGCCAAATCAAAAACCCTAAACCCAACTCTTTGCGTGCTTAGAGTTTAAGGTTTTCGAAGGATAACCTTTTTTCAATTAGCTGTTACCATACAATATAATGTTGCTAATATTATCTGTGTTTATTTTTAGAAACTGGCAAGAACAGTCAAACATCTTAATAAAGTTAACTGGAGCCAGGAAAGAGTGTCAAAGGTGGCAGATGGCCTCACGATGGAGTACATGTCATCCGACAAAAGTGAGCTAGATGGACGAAGAAACTTATAGGGTTAAACAGTACAACGTGCGAAAGTTTTCCTGGGAAAGCAAAGAAGAATCGATAAAAAATCGCTAGGATTTTCTGCCTGGACTATCAAGGAGAGTCATGACTCATAATAGCAAGGGGAACCATCGAACCTGGCAAACCAGCGAACACGGCCAACTGTCCATGCAGATTGGGCACATATGAGGTTGAAAATGGACCAGCGCAAGTCGCAGATTTTGACACAAATCCGCCACTATATAGAGGGAACGGGCTCGTTATTTACTTGAAATACATTATGAAACAGCTATCAGTTAGGACCAGCGCTAAAAATTTAAGGATTTGCATTATTCGCTTGGCTTTGCCCGCTCTGTTCTAGTCTTAATTGCCTTTTACCGTTTCCAGGGCAATATAAGTGAATTTAGCTGTGTACACTGTAAATTTCAAGGAGTTCAATCAACTCAAAATGTTTTATTTTGTAACCAAAAAGGTCTAAAACGACTACAGAATAACATTTTGGAGTTAATTATACAGACTCCTTGAAATTTACAGTGTATTGTACATAAATTGGCAACAATTGTTGCAGCTGAAAAGAATTTTCTAAAGAACGAGTCACAAACATTAGTCACTTTTATCTTACAATGCCAATCACAAAACGTGATAATTTTAGATTCCGTTTTTATACTGAGTCTTTGTCCGCACAAATCCGTTTTCGTATGGTGTTTTCTATATTTCCTTGTAAACGGATAACAATATCGTACGTGAGAACGCTATGCGAGAAAGGATTAGTCTGGGCTTATTATAAATGTTTCAGTTCGATATATAATTTTAGTTTCATTTTCATACATGAACCGGTGTAGTATATGTATATGTTATAATAAATTTATTTTAAAGATGAACGCGTGTTGTATATTTGAGTTAATGTTGCATTTCATCATTAAAAATGATTACTCTGATTTTTACATGTTCTTATAATAATTACCGAAGCATGAACCTTGAGTCATGCAAGACGGGGGTTTTGTAATCATGATCCATGAATAATACTGTATTGTCAGAAAATATGACACAAATTCGAGATTTTCAATTTAAAAAGCGCAATAAAAAGCCCAACGTTACAAGCGATGTAACTTATTGCAAATATAATAGAGCGACTAAATAGAACTAAAATGGCACTTACACAAAGTTTAATCAATGTATGAAATGTAATTAATTCAAAAAATCATTTTCTTATTTTAAGAAAAAAACAACTTGTTTTAAGAAAATTTTCTTGAAATAAGAAAATATTTTCTTGGGAGAATAACAAGAAAATTTTCTTAATAAGAAAATTTTCTTAAGAAAATTTTTCTTATTAAGAAAATTTTCTTGAGAGAAATTCCTAAATTGAGAAAATATTTTCTCATTTTAAGAAAATATTTTCTCAAATCAAGAAATTTTTTTTCTTAATAAGAAAATTTTCTTGTTATTTTCCCAAGAAAGAAGTTTTCTTGAAATAAGAAAATTTTCTTAAAATAAGAAAATAATTTCTTATTTTAAGAAAATAATTTCTCAAAACAAGAAATTTTTCTTAAAAAGAATTTTCTTATTAAGAAAATTTTCTTGTTATTCTCCCAAGAAAAAAAATTCTTGAAATAAGAATATTTTCTTAAAATGAGAAAATAATTTCTTATTTTAAGAAAATAATTTCTCAAAACAAGAAATTTTTCTTAAAATGAATTTTCTTATTAAGAAAATTTTCTTGTTATTCTCCCAAGAAAAAAAATTCTTGAAATAAGAAAATTTTCTTGAAATAAGAAAATAATTTCATATTTTAAGAAAATAATTTCTCAAATCAAGAAATTTTCTTAAAAAGAATTTTCTTATTAAGAATGTGTTGTTTGGGTGTTTATATGTACAGGTACTCAGGTGAATATTGTTTTTGATGTTACTTTGAGTGTATATGCAGTTAGCAGAGCATTGGACTAGTGTCCCAAAGGTTGCGGGTTCGATTCCCACCATGGTCAGGCTAACTTTTTAGCCTGCCCGGTGTGGATATACACTCAGAGTAACATACAAAACATCAAATTATTGTCAATTTATACAAGTTCTTTTTTCAGCTGCACTGTTACACAACTAGGTGTAGTTCTGATTGCACAGCAATGTGTTGTAGCAAATTTAAGTTCTCCTGAAGACCTGAAGCAGTAATTTTTCAACTCTTTCCACATGACAAGCAATATTATCTGACAAACCGTTTGTTCAAAGTCCATAGATTTCTTTATAATGCACATTAAACACTGTTCCAAACACATCATGCAAATGCCACTGGAGATCCATCATATATACATCCTTATACAGCTAGTAATCTGTAAAAGTTTACTTACATATTGAGAATGTAAGCATCACTCTAAGTATTATATGTGGTGTATACAGAAATATAAATGAATTTATTAGCGATTTTCAGCAGACTTTCGTGCTTGTATTCGACTTTTCTGCTTTGCTTGGGGGACAACCTTAATTGAAATAGCTACATATATATATATTTTAATCTTTCGTCCCTTGCCTGAAAGCAACATTTGCATGTTTTATATGCAAAACAAACGCGGCAAATTCAAACATTCAATGGAATATTTTCACACTTCGCTCAAGTAAACAGTCATAATCACTACATTATTTCGCAATGAATCTGTTTAAATAACAAGTCAAATATACAATTATTAATCTTACCTGTGGTATCTGAACAACATTTTAAGGACTTTCTGATGCTTTTCCCATCGTTATTTGCCATTTAAATTGCCTTGAAGGCGCTCATGGATATTTATATAAAATTTTTCACAAAAATGTAAAACGACGCTATCCCGCGATGCTCCGCGTTCTAAAAGGTAAACCAGGTACCAGGCGTTTAGTGAATACGCGAACTATGGCGAACTATTCCTGCTTGGATAAAAATTCCGGAGGGCAAAAATTCTCTTCAACAATTCAATAAAACTGAAACGAGCTCAAATTTTGGAAACGAAATAAAAACAAAGTGACTATATTACCGGCAGCCGGTCTAACACTCAAAAGGTTAGGGTTAGGGGTTAGGGTTAGAGAAGGGTTTGGGATTGGGGATCTTATTAATCTATCTTATACTGAAGATTCAACTTTAACTATATAGTCAATGTACTGCCGGCCATTTAGTGCTTGATCAACCGTGAGCTGCCGGTCATATAGTCTCTTCAATTCGAAATAAAAACTACAAATTTACCTGACGAAATAAGATATACGTTGTTCTAAGTCTTGTTAAGATATAAGTTGTCCTATAACACTAGGATTTTACATTTTCTTGCTTCGAAAATTTAAGTAATAATGTCTTACTATTTTATAATTTTGTATTTTAAGAATTTCATTTCTTGTCTTACGAACATATTCTTAAAGTAAGAAAATCGTATTTTCTTATTTTAAGAAAATGTTTTCTTATTAAGAAAGTAAGAAAATCGTATTTTCTTATTTTAAGAAAATGTTTTCTTATTAAGAATTTTTTTTCTTATTTTAAGAAAAAGATATCTTGGGATTCAAAAATTTCTTATTTCCAGAAAATTTTTTCTTACTAAGAAAATTATTTTCTTATTTTAAGATTTTTTTTCTTAAATTAAGAAATGTTTTTCTTAATAAGAAAATGATTTTTTGCTGTGTACTCATCTACATAATGTAGGTATATCATTTCTATTTGAAAATTTTAAAAACTTTAAAATGTAGGACTTCTCAAGAGTAGAGACGAGTGGTTTGTTATCGTAATTGTTTTGGTAAAACACTCCCGATATATTTTGTTTTTGAAAGCACAGAAAATTGTTCAATCGCGTTGATGTTGGGATTGAATTGATACTGTTGTAGTGTGAATCTTGTGTACTGATAACCCATTTGTACAAAGTCATGCAGCATTAACACCATTGCAGCAGATGCAAGGAAGTTAAGCCGTATATTTCGGAGCACGTACATTTGCAATAAATTGGCATATGCATTCGCATACTGAATTGGTAGTAGCAATTTTAATGACATATTTACATCAACTTTGCACAACGGGCAAATGTATTGGAAATATTAGAAGTCAGTTAATGCATTAATAAATAGAAAAATATGTTTCAATTGCAATCCTTCTATATTTTCCAGTAACAGCAACATGCACTATAGCGCCGAAGCAAGCATTTATTGCGTGAGTATATAAACAGCAGCGCAACTGGTACATAAATAATACATGAAAATGCGCGTGACTGTGTTGCAGATGCATGTATTTGGAAAAATTGTATTTTCTTCTTTATCCGAATAATCTAGCTAATTATATATATACTTCCATGGTTTTCAAAATCAGCCAACTGATTCCTGCATATATATGAATTATCCGAAGTTCTATAAGAATGCAAAAAAATATACGCGAAGTTTAGATAATTATCTTTATTATATATCAATAGTCAAAGTCGCATTTTTCTAGTGTTTTATTGGTTGAGAGTATATCACGTGAGAGTGACGAAATTAGGATGTCTCCCTCGCAACAGCGCGAGAGGGAGATAATACATTATCGACCGGCGACATGGCCAGAAATCACGGACATTTTCATTTCTCAGGTTTCACGTTACCACGAGCACCCACGCAACAATGGCTGCGCAATGCCCTATGTTTATTATCAGGCGAGCAGAGTATTTTCAATATAGCATGCTATATATAAATCTTTGAATATTTGTTGAAATTGATTCCAGAAGTAGCGGTTGTATAGTAACACATTAAGAAAAAATGTTCTCATTTCTTTGCATACTCGCTCTGCTTTTTGCGATTGAATATTACAACATTTTACCTCACTTTACATAGGAATCTGTAAAGGTTTCTCGCTCAAAAGGCTATATCTCGTAGTATATTCAATTATCGAAATTTGTTGAAATCATTTTATTTTGACGAATAGTATAGCCTTATCTTCCGCCATTTACTATTTTGTTACACCCGATAAAAGCTCTCACTGCTTTTTTGTTTTGAAATTCGCAAGCCGGTGCGTTAATATGCATATTATAATATTACTTTGCGGTCGAAGTAATATTCCATTCCCTTGCCAAACTCGAAATATTGATTGTCTTGCTACATGTTTGTTACCAAAATACTCGTCGAAAGCTTCTCTTTTCGTTCCCGTAGTCATTGCTTAGCCACACTCTGAGCCTGGTAAATTAAAGGCCACAACTTGAGTGCATACTTCATGCTCTGCTTTATAAACAACACCCACGCGAATATTTAAAATTCCGGATGCCTTGATAGGTCGTAAAAGGATTATTAGGAATTCTTGTGGATAAACGGAAAAGCCGCTGACCGACTGATACGCTTGCACAATGTCCGTCATTTCTGGCCATGATAACAAAAAAAATCACGTGCGCCACCATCACGTGAAGATGCGACTTTTGGACATGCCTAGTACGTAATTAAAACTTTCGCTTTAAGTAACTGCAGTGTTGCCAGTGTTTAATATAACGTTTTAACAATAAAATATTTCATGTATTTACGTTCATTTGTTCTTTAATTTGTTGTTTCTTTGACTATTGATATATAAAACACTTATTACTTGTTATTGTTGTTTCTTTGACTATTGATATAATAAAACACTTATTTACTGAGACCCCGGGAAACATCGACGGTCTCGAGTCCACAAAACACACTGTTTCCCTCGGCCTCAGTAAATAAGTGATAAATATTCGATAATGACTTGGAGATTTGTGCTGTCTATACCAAAATTACAGTAGGGCCACTCAGCGTAAAAAGTGTCCACATTGTTTACTGCAACCTATAATTAACATATTGGCAGCCAGTAAACGGCAGCAGTTCACTATTAAATTGTATTACAGAGCAATGATGTTGGCCGCATAAGACACCTGGGATCTAGCTTAAATAATTCCCACTTTTCTCTCCCCTATAACTGGCCCTACTGGTTGTCTCCCTATACTGTGGTCTATACTGCATGAACAAAATGAATCAGTATGATGGGAGAATTACAATGTAGTGTAATAAAATTTGAGACCAAATTGGCAATAAATTGACATACACCTTGGCATATTGAAGTATACGTAGCATATTTGATACAAAATTTGCATCAAATTCGCATATAGCGCAAATTTTTTGCATTTATACTTTGTGTTTTCGAAAGCTTGTCGTTAAAACTGACGTCCACTTGTCTTTAATTCGTTTATTATCTGCTAGTTTTTTTCCCCATTTTTTAAAGACAATTCAGATATACTTTGTAAGCGCGCTTTCCAATTCGCACGGGCTCACAGAGGCGACTGGGGACGAGTCAGGTCTGATACCCCATGCAGCGTGTCACAGGTGGAACTTGAATTCATATATCTAGATGCTGAAACAGTGAAACAAACAATCTTAAAAACATTTACTCAACGATGAAGAGTTGATTCTAACCGCCCAGGCAGTTTTGCTGAAATAGTCAAAACTTGTTTGCAATTACTTGCTTGATACTAGGAATACTAAGCTAAATTAGGGCAAAGAGTGCGTGGACGTTCAAGACGCCAAAAGGCCGTAGAATTTGTTTTTTGCCATTAATATGGCAATTGCTAGGCCTATAGTTATCAAAGCAAGAAAGAAAATGTGAAGATAGTTGCACCCAGGTACAAACAAGTGAATATATATAATATAAGAAACATATATATAAGAAACTTATATATAAGAAACATTTATTATATGAAATTCATTGCTTATTGAAAACTCTTTTTGCCATGTTTTGAATATCACTATCCAAGTGGGGCAAACTAGTTTTTTTGGATGGATATCAAACTCTACTTTTCTAGTATCCCACTGCATAGTTAGTGCAGAAAATTTCGTATTCCAAGCCCTGCGCTCTGGAGGAATATCTCAAAGTGAAAAAAAAATTTGATATTGAAATCTAGAAATTTTTCGCTTCGAAATAAGTGAGGCTGCTTGTTAGTTTACCATTGTGTGAGTTCAACTTAGTAAAGCCAGAGGTTTCAGTTTTCGTTTCACATAGCAAAATTTTGATTTGAATTTTCGTCTTGACCATGTCCTTCGCTTGTGATCGTTCTGCATTCCATGTAAGACTTATTTTTTAATAAGGTCAGGTAGAGCTAAATAAAAACACTAAATATATACCACATGCATAATTACATGCTTGGTGATTTAAGTATATAGGGCATATATATATATATATATATATATATATATATATATATATATATATATATATATATATATATATATATATATATATATATATATATATATATATATATATATATATATATATAGCTTAAGATTTTGGTTTACGAAACACAAACAGTGCTCAATACCATATAGATAGAGCGTAATATAGTTTTTCGTTTTACCTCAAAAAACCACAACAGTCTGTTTCATCCGTATAGGAATCATCAACCACTTGATGATTCCTATACGGATGAAACAGACTGTTGTGGTTTTTTGAGGTAAAACGAAAAACTATATATATATATATATATATATATATATATATATATATATATATATATATATATATATATATATATATATATATATAATTCAGTCAAGGTTTGAATGTTTGCGTCGCTACTCTGAGTTTCACGCTTTACGCGATCATCAGGCAACTGACAGATATTATTCAATATTCATAATATTGATTTGGAAAACAAGTTTAGTTGCCTGATAATCGCGTAAAGCGTGAAACTCAGAGTAGCGACGCAAACATTCAAACCTTGACTGAATTAATTATATATATATATATATATATATATATATATATATATATATATATATATATATATATATATATATCTCAAAAGTAACTGTAAATAGCATATATGATTTATAATATAGTCATTCACCGTATATGAGCTGTTCTGCAATCTGATTGGTTGAATTACTCCCCGTATATCAGCTCATATACGGCGGGTAGCGAAAAACAAGATGGCGGTCGAAAAACTACATGAGTTTTGCGAAGCAGGAAAAAGGAAAATATTTGCTTTGAGAAAGATAATAGTACAAGGAAAAACTCGCAAAAAAATTGACAAGCATAAATTACACCGTTTAGATCCTATAGTTTGTATGCTTTGACTTTCTTCATAATGGACCACTTTATTGTATTCCGACATGAGGAATACAAAAGCAACACCGAACTGTCCAAGTACGTCTGGAAACTGAAGTCAGAAAAAAGTCAGTATGCAATAAAGTGGTCCATTATAAAGAAAGTCAAAGCATACAAACCAGGATCTAAACGGTGTAATTTATGCCTCGAGGAGAAACTACTTATTATGAAAGCGAAGAAAACTGAACGCCTGAACAAACGCTCTGACTTGTTTTCCAAATGTAGACATGTAACCAGATACCTGCTTAATCAAGTTGTAAAATGATAACCTATATTTATTATGAATATTGAATAATATCTGTCAGTTGCCTGATAATCGCGTAAAGCGTGAAACTCAGAGTAGCGACGCAAACATTCAAACCTTGACTGAATTAATTCCGCTCTACTTATTATGGTATTGAGCGCTCTTCTACCTTACGTCAACTCATCGACTATATTTTTTAATATAGTCTTCAGTATATATATATATATATATATATATATATATATATATATATATATATATATATATATATATATATATATATATATATATATATATATATAGTTGGCATGCATACTGCACATACAATAGATTCTGCCCCACGTACACTAACACATGCGCAAGTAGCGACATTGGTTAGCAGGGCTCAATTAATATTATTTATGAAGACGCCGAGGATAATTAATAACTTTGACTGCTGCATGTGTTTCGTAAAGTAGTCGTATAATTTTATCTTTTGAGAGTTAAATGTGTTTTTGCAGGGCTTTAAGGAGATTTTAGTCAAATGTGCTGCATGCTCTGATTACTAGTTGCATTGTGCCATGATGCGCTCTATACTCTTCTATTTTATTACAAGACATTGCCTACGTTGTGTATACGCTTTGTAGACTTTACACTTCGGTTGGATAGGGTCTAGATACAAAAATACAAGCGAAACGTCGACTTTTTGCTTGCTGATTTGCTGTTATCGCGAGCGTCACTGGTGCAGACCGTTCGAGATTATATTTGTAGACCTTCTGTGCTCTACGCGTATCTTGTATATACAGCTATTTCAATTAAGGTTGTCCCCCGAGCAAAGCAGAAAAGCGAAAGGCCGCTGGGAATCGCTAATAAATTCATTAATTTATTAGCTATTCCCAGCAGCCTTTCGCGCTCGTATTCGACTTTTCCGCTTTGCTCGGGGGACAACCTTAATAGCTGTGTACATTGTGTCTGCTTTTTGTCTCAATGTGTCTATCTTTTGTACACGATATGTACAGGGTGTCCCAAAAAAAGAAAACTAATGAAATAAGCGTATTGTTAGAATTTAAATGCCTCGGCACTCTGCAGAACCAACCGACGTGCATCAAAGCTTGACGTAAGTAAATTTTATGCATAAAGAAACAGTTTAAGAAGCTGTTTTTTTAATTCCCAAGAATTTAGTGCGCTTTGCAAAGATATTTTAATTTCATAATAATAAGTCAATATTTAATATACATAATACTTCTTCTTTGTGTGGCTATACCTTGGACACATGCACCGTAAACGCGTTCCAAACTATCTTTGCATTTTCCAAAATAATATTTTTTCGACAAAAACAGCCTTATTTACAAAATTTTGCTGACACCAAAAACCTTTTAATCAAAAGAGTCGAATTTTGCAGATAAAAATATCGCCTCTGTAAAAAATAGTAATATTTGCAATGCATGCGACAATATCTTACCATTTTAAAAACACCTTGGATAAATAACGAAATTATTTTGCAACACTCCATTGGGTTGGAAATATACAAAAGTATCACACAATATTTTCTATATAGTTTAAACACTCTTAAGCAGACATCGCCAAAACTAGACGTCCAAGGTATCAGAAATTCTGATACCTTTGAAATCCTCTATACCTCAAATATCATTAAAACTGCAGAGACTGGCAGTCCAAAGTATCAGAAATTCTGATACCTTTGAAATCCCCTATATCTCAAATATACTTAAAACTGCAGAGACTGATAGTCGAAAGTATCAGAAATTCTGATACCTTTGAAATCCTCTATACCTCAAATATCATTAAAACTGCAGAGACTGGTAGTCCAAAGTATCAGAAATTCTGATACTTTTGAAATCCTCTATACATCAAATATCATTAAAAAGTACATCTGCGATATATAAGGTTTAAATATTGGGGCCGTAGTAATTGGCTAAGCGCTGTTGCGGACTCCCTGCCATTAATTGCATTATAATTATTTACAAGGCAAAGCTAATAAATTAAATTAATTAATTGAAAAGTATCAGACTTTTTATACTTTGGACTATCAGTCTCTGCAGTTTTAAGTATATTTGAGATATAAATGGCTTATTTCTGATAATTTGGAACACCAGTCTCTGCAAGTTTAAGTATATTTGAGATATATCTAGAGGATTTCAAAAGTATCAGAATTTTTGATACTTTCGACTACCAATTTCTTCAATTTTAGGTATATTTGCGATATTAAGGATTTCAAAGGTATCAGAATTTCTGATACTTTGGACTGCCAGTCTCTGCAGTTTTAATGATATTTGAGGTATAGAGGATTTCAAAGGTATCAGAATTTCTGATACTTTCGACTATCAGTCTCTGTAGTTTTAATGATATTTGAGGTATAGAGGATTTCAAAAGTATCAGAATTTCTGATACTTTGGACTACCAGTCCCTGCAGTTGTAAGGTTTTTGTATATTTGAGCATCTCACAAAAATTTATGCTGCTTAATAAGGTGTATCTACATCTTCGCATTTCCAAGATAATGTATTGTAATTTGCTTATTCGTAATTTTTGCTACTCCGTATATCCTCCATTTTTGCAGACATAAATTGATGGTCAGCAAGATTTTATGAAAATGATTGTTTATGTTGATAGGTTTTTCTATGGAAACAGTTTTCGCGCTTTAAGTGTGATTTTGCATCTTGCTTTTCTCTCAAATATCGTTTCTTTCGACTTATTTTGCAGATAGTATAAAGCCATTCAAACATTTTTTAAAAGTTTTTTTATATTTTGCTAAAAATGAGCAGTAAATCTGCAAAATGAGATGAAAATACCCAAAAAAAATGAATTTTGGAAAATGCAAAGATAGTTTGGAACGCGTTACAAACTAGATAAAAAGGAACACATCGTACACACCCAAAGTCAGGACATGCATGCATGATAGGATACAAAGTATCTACGATATTATACTACATCGCAGGCATGCACATCATACACAAAGTAGGCGACACAACATGCATAAAGAAGACACAACATGTCACTAATATTAGGGTACAAAATGGGATATTTATTTTTAGCTGATGCATGAGTTCTAGTTATTGCCGAGTTAGAGTTCGTCTCGAGTCGGCTCTCGACTGAAGTGATGTCGATTTCGAATTTGACTTTGGGTTTAGACACTATAGGCCTACTAGGCGTAATATGATAGATATTTCGAATACAAATTGTATGAAACCTTTTAAATCTCATCCAACAACATCATTCCTTTAATACTCTGACGCTACCAAACTCTAGCCCTAACCCCCAACATTTGGACGCTAACCGTGGCGTAAAGCTTGGGTCAAATGAGAATAAGAGTTGACATCTAGATTAACAAAACAAAGGTTTACATGAGTATTGTAAGTACATGAAACGTTGGAAAAGCATTAAGAACAGCTAACCCAGGTCATGTCAATTTCAAGTCTATATAATTATGCCGATGAAAGTGCCAACGTCTTCAACCGCTACTTCAACTCTGTATTTAAAAACAAACTCTGGAGATAGTTGTTGCACTGTTTCACCATCATGCAGCGAAACTATTTCAGAGATCATTCTAGAACTAGCCGAAGTACGTAACGCATGCACTCAACAATCTGAATCCAAATAAAGGTTCCGGTCCTGTCAAAATAACCACCCGCCTACTAAATAAATGCGCGTCTATACCATCACTCCACCACTTACTCATCTGTTAACCCAGTAATATCTGGCACATTTTATAGGGTCTATATTAGCAAAATAAATGTTCCACAAGTGTTCCATGTAGAATACATGATAGCGTCGGGAAAGCATTGTGAATAGCTAACCAAGATCGTGTTACTTGCGCTCTCACCCATAACTTTAACTCCTATAATTTAGCACAACCCTAACCACTAACTCCAATCTCGACTTAAAGTCGGTTATAACTTATAATTTGATTTGAACAGGAACTTCCTATATTCTCCACAAGGTAGACAAATCGTACACAGACAAAGTAGACAATGTATATATATGTATATATATATAGATATATATCGCACCTTAATAAGTACCATATGTAGAGTGCGCTGTGTCACCTGTGTGTAAATAGTATGCATGAAGTTATAGCTCCTATTGTAGCTATACTTCAGTAAACTCT